GTAGTCGCATACTTCCAAGTCACTTCCTTCAGAAACGAAGCAAGTATACTTCCAAGCCACGGCTTCGGAAAACAAAGAAGAATGGAACAGGCTAACAAGTGTGCCACTCTCTCTAACGGTTTCAACATAAACTGTACCGAAAATAAATACCTCACGATGTCTATCTAATTATGAACTTGCTTTACTTTCACGGAACACATTTTTGGTGATAACAAATGCAAGAAAGTCACATATTTAGCAACACATGTTCTACGCCACTACATACTTACATTTAAATGTGTGCTGCGTCGGTTCAGCCGTTCTCCGCAAGGGTTTTTGAAATTAGTCCGTGCGCAAAGCATTGTGGGGATTTGAAGGACGCGAAGTCTACCCATGTGCAGCCTCGAAATTACCCCCAAACCAAGGACGTGGCCTCGGTGGAATTCCAAGTATGCTGGAGATTGGAACAGTCCTTCGGCGGCACTCGATGACGTAGCATCCTTGAAATATTGGCTTGGAAGCCAGTTTCCTCGAGATTGAGAAACGGCCACGGCCCTTATTGTGTCAATCACACCAAGACAGGTTAGAATAGTGAAAAAAGTTGACTTGAATTTGAAGTCTCAGAGAATATGAAAAGTGTATTTCTCCTAAATGTATGAGATTTATTTTGTAAATGTATAACCTTAATATAGTAATCAACGTTTTTTTCCCGTAAAATGTTACTAAAATTATTAACAATATCAATGTTTTTTTTCCAGTATTACAAAATAATTAATTCAGAATTGTTCAGATTTAGGGCATTTTTGTAAATTAACAGGAAAAAAAACTCAGATAATCTCTGACATTTAAATTATACATTTACCTGAAAAAATGCAAAAATGTAAGAGAAAAATTAAATAAATTTTTTTCTCAGAGAATATCTGTTTATTTCTCCGTAATTCTTTAGATCTTTCATTAACTTTTACTACCACTAGTAGAAAACTGGAAACTCGTAATTTATTTATTGTATTCCTACATTTTATAAAACAAAAGCCTTTATCACGTAGCAAGTATTCACTCACTGTCTTCCATAATCTGAAGACATTACCCTACATATCAAATACAAAGAAACCCCATATTGAGTTAATGTTATTATAATGTCTGCTAACTCTGTCTGCAGGTGAAGTACAAGACAGACTTGAAGAAGCTCCACAAGCCTGTGACCGACATGGCGGAGTCTCTGTCCATGCAGCACAACCTGAGCACCAGCAAACTGTCCAGCTCCGTAAGACCCACCCTCCTCTAACCCTCTCACCCCACCCCCCACCCCCAAAACCCCAAAACCCAGGAAGCATCTGCATGAGTTCAGTTCAGTGTTTCCTCCAGAGGTGGGAAGTAGTGGAGTACAAATACGTTGTTACTGTACTTAAGTACATGTTTCTGGTATCAGTACTTTACTCCACTACTTATTTTTCTGATGACTTTTTACTTTGACTTCTTACATGTGGAACACAAATACCTGAACTTTCTACTTCTTACATGTGGAACACAAATACCTGAACTTTCTACTTCTTACATTTTGAACACAAATACCTGTACTTTCTACTTCTTACATGTTGAACACAAATACCTGTACTTTCTACTTCTTACATGTTGAACACAAATACCTGTACTTTCTACTTCTTACATGTTGAACACAAATACCTGTACTTTCTACTTCTTACATGTTGAACACAAATACCTGTACTTTCTACTTCTTACATGTTGAACACAAATACCTGTACTTTCTACTTCTTACATGTTGAACACAAATACCTGTACTTTCTACTTCTTACATGTTGAACACAAATACCTGTACTTTCTACTTCTTACATGTTGAACACAAATACCTGTACTTTCTACTTCTCACATTTTCCAAACAGGCTGGTTCCTTTAGTCTGAATGTGTGTTTGGTGGCGTGATCATTATTATTTAGAGTCATTGCGTGCCTATTGATTTGAACACGATCCGTGTATCCATCATTTCCTGGTCTTCTCTAAAGAAGAGGGACCAATGGAAACGTTGTCATGTTGCCGTTGGTCACCATGGAAACATTCATTAGCTAACAATGACATTATTGTTCTATTAATATAAAGGGAGGTCAGGTACTCTTTAAAACAGCTGCTAGTTATGGGTACTTTTTACTTAAGTACATTTCAAAGCCTCTTTACTTTGACTTGAGTAAAGAAGTTTAGTCAGTACTTCTACTAAACACGAGTATCTGTAATTTCACTTGAGTAAAGGATGTGTGTACTTTTGCCATCTCTGGTGTTGACTGATGTTTTCTGTCCATCAGAATAAGTACAAGCACACCGCTGAGATGGACAGGGCGAGCTTCACGAGTGTCATCGACACCCCGGAGATCATCCATGCTCAGCAGATGAAGAGCATCATCAGCCAGGTACATTAAATCCCCAATTTAAAGTGGGCATATCATAAAGAAACTCCCCTTTTCATTGTTTGTGCACGAACATTTTCATATCTGACAACACAAACTGAAATAAGAAGTCAGTTTTAATAGACGGCCAACTAGCTTCCTCTCTGGTGTCACATGCAGGTTAATAATATATACTGTATATATATTTTTTTTTTATGCTAGATATTTAGAAAAGACATGGCATTTTTGGTAGGGGGGCGTATAGAGAATGGCACTAAAATGGATCGTTTCAGGCAAAAGGTGGGAACAGGAATGTGTGTTTTCAAAAGTCGAGACCACTTTTAAGGACATGGCGTTCCAATGAACCATCTCGTGCTCTTCGGTACAGAGTTATCTTCCACCACCAGAATTTAAAATCTGATACAACACCAGATAGTTATTAACTCTGCTTTTCTCAGACCTCCAACAGCTATCTACAACCATGTATTCTTCTAAACCATTAATATGTCTCTTAGACCCAATTCTAACTAAGCTATTCAAATAAGTTCTCCCTTTAATTAACACGTTTTATTGATTGTTTGTTTTTGCTTGATTAACTGACTAAACAATTCAATTTCGCTTTTTGTTTTTTCCCCAACAGAAAAAGTACAAAGAGGAGGCTTCGAAGAGCATGTCTCAATATGTGCCGGTGTTCGACACTCCAGAGATGCAGAGAGTCCGTGAGAACCAGAAGAACTTCAGCACTGTGAGTAGAAAATATATAAGTATGATTTAATAAGCCTGTTTCTACTCGGGCCGCAGCGAGTATCTGACCGCTGTATGATGAAGTCAGAGGTTCTTCCAGTGTCTTGTGGCTCTGTGTCTACATTTCTGCTTTAAAGTATTATCTCCAATACTTTATACGTTTGTATTGTGTTCTGAAAAGTTGTAAAGTCAGTGTTTGTATTTAAAGACTGTGTAGTACTCAGTGTAGAAGCTAAGGTAGATTGTTTTCCTTCTTATTGACGAGTTGTTTCTCTTCTGGTTTTCTGTTTTCTTCTTTTTTATTTTGACCGATTGTAAAACATGTTAACTGCACTTTTGTTTTTCTCTCTGTAGCATCAGTACCAGATTGAACATAGAAACATAAAGGGCAAAGTGTCTACTATAAAGGACACTCCTGAAATGCTCCGTGCTAAAGAGAATACAAAGAATTACAGCTTGGTATCTACTCCATCAGATTTTTTTCTTAACGTTTTCTAATAACACTTTTAAAAAAAAATGTGTTCCCTTAATATTTTTTTAACAAACCCTGATATGCAGCCCAAATATCTTTGGACCAAACTGATTTTTTTTTTTTAACCTTGTGGAAAACTCTGCATTTTAATTCAAGCAACTAACTTATAAATCATAGTGTGACATTTATTAGAGCAGAGCTTGTGTGTTGTGAAATACTGTGTTGTTGTGTCCTTTAAATGTTGATGTATATGTTTGTTTTGTTGCTGTGTGTGTCGATAAATCAGGTTTAGCTTTGAATTCAAACCCACTTTTCCTAATTAACCAAGAGTTGAAATCAGGCTAACTTCCGGTTGCTACTTTCATTCCTCATCTGTGTAAAGATTCAGTACAAAGAGGATTTGGGAGGAGGAACATCCTTATCCGAGACCCCCGAGATGGAGAGGGTTAAACGCAACCAGCGCAACATTAGCACGGTACTCCTCAGAGTGACCCTACTCCCTCCAGCCTCCCTCCATACTCCCTCCTTAAGGAATAACCAGGAATATAACATATCCCGACATGTAATCTCTTCAATTAGCAATTTACTGTTAATTACATTTTCTTACTAATTACGGGATTTTAACGAGCCCCCAAAGTTCACAAGTATTTAGTTTTGCCTCTGCACCGGTGGTAACTGTAGACGAAGGCACTATAAATATTATATTTGAATTGTATTTTTCCGTAAACAAACGTCCAATTAGATTCAAGGATGATCTAGTTAAGATCTAGATTATTACTACGTCACTGTGGACCTCAAGAAACACGTATTTTTGCCGTAAAGTGATCATTAATATGCGAAATATGACACATTTCACCCAAAAAGTGATGCAGGTTTATTGCGAGTTATTCATTTTGTAAAAACACATTGATGAAGATACTTGTCTTTTTACACACCTGTCCAAGTACAGTACTTTGTGTCCATTGGTTCTTCT